GTTCTAATTATGGAAACTCAAGGAAATTTAAATGTATTTTACAGATTACATTTAATAGTGCATTCTAGGTAAATAGTCCTAATTTTTCATAAAATATGTATTTCATTTTTTATTCTTAATTATTCATTTGTATATATAGAAACATCTATTTTCTATGCCTATTTATATCTCTTCACATTATATATGATGTGTGTGTTTTGGGGTTAGCATTCTCACATTATTCAAATTAGATTTAAAATTAATTAACCGTTTTTTAAATGTTAGTAAGAATTCTTTGTTTACTCATTCATATGTGTGTAACACAATTTCTTCTAGATCAGTAGCTATTATTTGAATAATTTATTACCTAGTAGTGGTATATTACTTTGAAAAAAGAGTAACTGGAAAATAAAATGGTGTGTTAAAAATATATTAACAGTGGATGAACTCTTGGTAGAGAGACGATTAAGGTAGTTCTTATTTCTTAAAAAGATCTAAATGCATGTAGTTCTGCCAAAGGTAAAGCAAGAGTCCTTTTCATTATCTGTACCCTGGTAGGGCATCCTCAGCCAAGGTTCAATTTGTAACAGTTTTGTCATTATGTAGCTGGGTTAATGGGCAGCTAGCTTATTAACACACATATCACATTTATTTTTAACATCAAAGATAGCTGTTAAGTTTTGCTTCCCTACACGGAGTGGCATTTCTTGACTTCACTTAGTCTCAGAAATTTAAAACCTGCCAATTCTACTTTTATATGCATATCTAAAGTAGAAAATAATTTTTCCAACATTATCTTTTGTAATAGTTTCATCCAACAGATATCAAAAGCCTACAGAGCATTAGTCAGGGACAGAGTGATTAGTTTCTCTCTTTATGGATGGGTAATTAATATAAAAAGGATGGGAAAAAATCCTTAATCCCATTACGCTTGATCCATCATTTAGCAATGCTTTTGACTCTTCAAGGTAAAATCTGCATCTGAATTTCCCTAAAGCAATCAAGTCGTCAGTTTCACAAAATTATAAAACCCCACAGCAAACTGCACAGCGCTGATAGAAAAAAAAAGTGAGCTTTCTGACATTCATCTAAGAGAGTCTCATTGAATGAAAATGTTTCAAACACTTTTTAAATTATCCCTAATAGAATTGACCTAATTTTGCTTTAGTACACTCAGTCTGAAGATAAGTGCAATGTCTGCATAGCATGAGAAAGAAAATATCTAAGAAAGCTAGGTAAAAATGCTGTAGGTTATATGAACAAGCTGCTGAGTCCATAGGGGAACATGGAGTATGACAAAACACAAGAATAGCCCGTGGCTTCGTGAGGAAATTCAGACAAGTCATTCTGGAGATGCTCATGGCATCATTTCTAAACCCATAAAGTAGTAAGATGCTGTCCTGCATTGGCCTGCAGCTTTAACCGTTATTGATTTATCTTTCTCGCTGTAATGCTCCATAGCTCATAACAGTAAGACGTGACTCAGAGCAACCTTTGCATTTGGAACTCTTGGTGGGTTTGACATATGGAATATATAGTTGCAAAGGATCATATTTAGCTTATTTCCTCATGACATTCCCTAGTGTATTAATTCACTATTGCAAATAAATGACCTTATCTCTTTAAAAATAAATCATGGTTAAATATACTCAACAAAAACATTTCGACTAAAAATACTTAGAATGTGTACTTCAGGGAAACCCAGACAAAGGCAACTGAAGGAAGAATGGGTTTACTTTGGTTCACAGTTCAAGGTACAGCTCACCACAGACTGGAGGTCAATGGACCAAGGGCATGAAAAATGTATTCATTCATGGATCAGAAAGTGGGAAGGTTTTCATGACTCCATTAACTTAACCAAGATAATTCCAAGTATGCAAGGAAATCTGCTCTGCTCCTCTCCAAGGTGATTTTAGGTAGTAACTGACAAATGAAATCAACCATCAGGTACATAAAGTCATTTCTAGAAATCAATTTGTTATGTAGTCATCACCACCATTCATTTCCAGAACCACTGTTTCCTCAATTGAAGGAGAAATGATGCCCACTTCTCCTTCTCTTTATATTTCTGCTTCTGGCAAATATCTATATATTTGTCTTCCATTCATTTCATCCACAGTGCAAGTGTCAAAGTTCCATTATTTTCTAAATATGACTATAAAAATTTCATAATCTACACACCCAGCAGGATTGCTTGCACCTTTTTGTTACCATTGATAATATGGTAGCAAATAAAGATGAAATTCTTATTTTCATTTATTTTGTGCCTGTATAGATGACTATAAATCTTTTGTTCCAACATTAACTGTATATTAAATATTTTGATAGCAGCATAGCATTTGTGCAGTGCCCATAGCAATTTTCCCATACCTTTTTAATAACCCACTTATATTTAGAAATCATTTCAAGATTTGGTAGTCACCCCTCAAACATCATAATTATTCATAGTGAAACATCTTATAGGAGTGTATAAATTTCTATTGAAGTTGTGATAATAAATACAAACCAATGCGAAAGGTGAAGCACCTGAGTAGTAGCTGTAGTCTCTCGTTCATTCTCAATTGGGTCATCCCACGTCTTTACTGGGACACATTGAAAACATCTTTTAAGAAATGAGTTGGCAGGTGAGAGGAGAAGGTTGCAAGTGAAAAACAGTAAACCATGGCCCAAGGGAATAAAAAGCCTCAGTTTTCTGGGTCTCACTAGCTAGAAAGTCTGAGTATATAAATAAGCAAGAAACACAATATACAAACCGAACAGTTTACTTGCTCATTTACTTGTCACATGCTTAGAGATCACAATAGAAGATACCAAATATTTAAAAGTCTTTACTATGGGTAAGAATGATTAGTTTTTGCGCCTTATCAAAATGCAAAAAAAAAAAGATGCCAGCTAAACTTAAAGATGAACTTTCTGATGCTGAAACATGCTGCATAGTAACATGGAGTGCTCTGAAAAGAACGGTATTTTACAAGCTTTTCAAGTATATTCCAGCTGCAAAAACAAAAAAGCAAACAAAAAAAATAGGGAGATCATAGATGTTTTTTTCTGGCCAGGAGGTTAGTGAACAGTAACCTCTTGAGTCCCTTAAATGTTTGCATTTCTCTCATTTTCAGAGCTTTACCAACTATAGCCTGGGTTGTGAAAAGACGTTTGTACCCTAAGGACTTAATGATCTATATCTGGATGTAAACAAAATGATGGCTAACAGCAACAAAACTAAACTTTGTAGGCATGGATGCTATGTTCAAGAGAATCAGCCATGATAGGCAATAAAAAAGAACGGGAACAAAATCTTCGCATAACTACAGCTTTAAAAATTGAATTTTCTGTACTACTGCAGGGCTCAAATGTCTCGTGTTCTTATGATTCAACAGAATTCCCTTAAATAAAATGCAACTGTACTTTATATAATTTCCGTCTCCTTTTCATTTTGTTTGGAAAAAGTTCAACTCATATCTGTTCAATAACAGAACATAAAAATATTTACTTTGAAGATACTTCCAATGAATCTAAGGCAGCATATTAGAGAGATTGCTGGCACATTCATGGTTAATGAAGTTGTGGTTACAGTGTCCATATTATATAATAACCTAGATGTCTGTCAAATGATGAAAAGGAAACTTGGTATGGGGATAGATAGATAGATAGATGATAGATAGATAGATAGATAGATAGATAGATAGATAGATAGAGAGATGATAGATGATATAGATAGAGATAGAGATAGATATAGATATATAGATTTTATTTGCCCATGAAGAATAAAATTAAAATTATTTAATTTGCAATCAATGTACATTATTTCATAAAGTAAGTCAAAATTTTGTGTTACTTTACTTCAGCTATGAATAGGCTGTCCTTGCGCAGCACACATGTCAGTCTCTCCCATCCTGAGTTTTCCTGGGACCACTCTGCTTTCTCTGTCTTGTCATACATGAATTGTAAATAGCACCTTATCCACTGACCCCTTTAGGAACTTCCCTTGCAAGCTCACCAGCTTAGAGAAACCATTGCTGAGTAAAATTTAGAATGCAATGATTTTGATTGGAATATATATATCAGTAGTAGAAAGTATGTTTAGCTTTCAAGGCTCCATCGTTTCAATTGATGTTACCCCAAAGGAAAAGCAATACATTGTACTAGAATCATTATCGAGTGACACTTTCTTCTTCAGATGTTTCATTACATCTTATTCTTTCTGTGTCTCTGATATTGATCCATTATTAATTTTTTGGCAAGTGATTAAATGTATATCTTGAATTGGAGGAGACTCTGTTTTCGTAATGAATAAACAAAAAGTAATCACAGTTAAAGGGTCAGGCAGAAGTTTAAGCTGAGTATTATCCATGGGTTCCAAGAATAGGAACTGGGTCTCACCAAGGACTGCAATCTGGCAATCTCATCATTAGAGAATATTCATCCCCAGGTAACCTAATTCTTTTTGACAGTACGCAATGCTCTGCAACTGCAGCACAAAAATAAAAATTTCATGTGACAACAACAACATGAGACTATTTTGCTGTGTTAATACACTCAACTCTGATTATTTATAGATTTCTACTAACTGCATAAGACTGGAAAGGGTAAATATTGCTAGTTTAAAACAGACATTCACTATTCATTTTCTTAATGATTTACTGTTTTGGTATTTGAATTCAGACAAATTATAAAGGTGTAGGAATGTGAAATGACTGAACACATTGTATTTATTTGCAGTTGCTGTTGATGAGGCTACATTAAAACACAAGGTTATTCCATGATGTTTTATACAAAGCATATGCCCAATGACTGAGGAAAATGCCCAGGTTTGTGTTTTAAATCATTTCAGACATAGAGCATTGCTGCATATTTGCAAAATTGTCCTTTTATTTATAAATTCACCACTTCATGTATGTACTCCTACTTCACAGGTTCCCTGTCCTTCCTCTCTCCCGCTTCCCTCTTGCTCTCTTCTTCTTGGTCCAGTTCTCTCTATGCACATGGGAAAATTGCAGAGTTTAATAAGAGTGGCTTGGCGCATGAGCAGTAGCTGTAGAGCCGGAAAGATGGCGGAGGAAGGAGAAAGAAAAAAGATCCCTTTGGTTCCAGAAAATCTCCTGAAAAAGAGGAAGGCTTATCAGGCCCTCAAAGCCACCCAGGCAAAGCAGGCACTTTTGGCAAGGAGGGAGGGAAAATCGAAACAGTTCAGGTTTAAGCGATTGGAGTCATTCCTGCATGATTCCTGGCGGCAGAAGCGGGACATGGTGCGAGTCCGGCGACTAGAGGTGAAGCCTCGTGCACTGGAAGCACCCGATAAACACTCCCTGGCCTTCGTCATGCGCATTGAAAGGATAGAAGGAGTGAGTTCTCTGGTACAGAACACCATAGCAAAACTTCGCCTGAAGAAATTGTTCAGTGGTGTCTTCATCAATGTCACCCCTCAGACTGTAAGAATGCTGCGTACAGTGGAGCCTTATGTGACCTGGGGATTTCCAAATCTGAAATCTGTCCGGGAACTCATCTTGAAACGTGGACAAGCGAAGATTAATAATAAGACTGTCCCTCTGACCGACAACACCGTGATTGAGGAGCACCTGGGGAGATTTGGTGTCATTTGCCTGGAAGACCTCATCCATGAAATTGCCTTCCCGGGGAAGCATTTCCGGGCGATCTCTTCATTCTTGTGCCCATTCCACCTCTCTGTGGCCCGTCACGCTACCAAGAACAGAGTGGGGTTCCTCAAGGAGATGGGCTCTCCTGGCTATCGGGGTGAACGCATCAATCAGCTCATCCGCCAGCTGAACTAAACTGGGACCAGGATTTCCAGAAGACAATGCATTGAAGTGTGCATTTGTTAATAAAATTATCAATGTCTTCAAAGAAGACTATTTTCTGCCTTCAAAACCTGGAAGTGGTCTGCAAAAAGACAGCAGGGTGTGAGCATTGGAAACCTCAGCACAGCCCCCTTTCATGGAAAAGGATGTTCTCCACAGTGGCTGCCCCTGTCTCTGGATCAACGTAGGCCTTGGAGGAGTTACCCTACTTTGTCCAGCCTGATATCTTGGTGTTTAATATCTGGGTGGGCAAATAATCCAAACACCCCTCCCGCCCCTTCCAGTTCTCGGAATGCCATGGTCCAGACCGAGGGGCATACTTGAGTCTGGAAGAAGAAAGTCTTAGCCGGGCGATGGTGGCACACGCCTTTAATCCCAGCAGAGGTAGGCGGATCTCTGTGAGTTCGAGACCAGCCTGGTCTAGAGCTAGTTCCAGGACAGGCTCCAAAGCCACAGAGAAACCCTGTCTCGAAAAACCAAAAAAAAAAAAAAAAAGAGTGGCTTGCATAAGCATCCAATGAGAGTTATTGACTGGAGTTCTGATGAATTACCAGTGTCCACAGTAATGAAGACTGTGCTTCCCCCTCCCAGGTGCCCCCGAACAAACCTACAATCCCAATACTCCAAGTGTAAGCAGGAGGATTGTCATGAGTTTAGACTACACTGGCATAAATAATTTTAGACCAGCAGGTCTTAAAAAAACTTTAAATAATCTATACATATTCTAAATGTATGTAACAAAATAGATTCATATAATAAAGTAGGATTTAAAACTATATTAGACTGATAACTATCTGTATGAATGATGTTGTCCGCAAATTTTAACAGCCTACAGAAATTAAATGAACATAATTTCCCAACTTTTGCTTCTTGGGAGAAATGATAATGTTTTTTATTTAACATTATATTTACATATATCACATGGTGTGTGTGATATTCATATATATATCATATAATTTTTATATAACATGGACATTATATTGTTATTATATGTCATACATTGTCTATTGTACATGATGTATACAGATGTGATTGCCTCGCCGAAAAAGGTACCAAGCCACGTGGCTAACACAGACAAGTATTATGGGCTAATATATGTTATCAGAGTTAATAAGCCTGAACTAATAGTCCAATCAATTTATAGTTATTGTAGGCCTCTGCATTTATTTGGGTCTAAACTGATGTGAGAATTGGTGGGACAGAAACCGATGTCGACATTACAATATGTAATATATATATATATATATAATGTGATTGTATACGTATATATGTATATATACACACAAATATACTTCAAAACTAAAAATATAACATTCATATCTACCTCTCTATTTAGGAACATAAATATTCTTGATTGGGTTTCATCTTAATCACATAATATGTTTAGTGATGACTGCATGAGCCAAAGAGCTTTTCTCGAATGTTCACCTAGGCCAGCTTCAGCCAACATAAGGTAACTTGAAAACACAAAGCCTCAAAATTAAGCACGGCAGAAAAGAGCTTAAATAATTTTCGACAAATGTTAAAAACAGATGTTAGCAATCTCCCATCATATTCATTGAAAAGATTGCAATGCTTTACTCAGGAGACATCCAATTTTCAGTAGCACAGCTTACTTTTAAAAGCTCCAGGATGAACTGATTTCAAATGTACTTCCAGGTAAATAATTTCAACCATATTTGGAGCTTTTGGATAAATGCCAATTATGAGAAAGAAGCAAGCTGAAAAAAAAACCTGTCATTTTAATTCTGAGATAGTTGTTATTACATTATTATTTTTGACAGTAGGTGGTTTTTTTCTTTTTCTACTAAGGACTCATAATTTGCTTCAATATCGCACTATCAGCAAGAAAAACAAAACTTTGGAATTCTCCATGGCAAAATTTTCTAAAGTTTCAGTGAACAGATATTTCAGTCTCAAAAGTTACACTATAAATAGAGCACTCATAATCTTGCTCAATACACATTTCTCAAATGCACTTGGGAATCAGAATCATTAGGCATTTCTAATAATTTTATTTTAAAATTCATTTTGATGGAATTTATAAATAAATAGAAAGCTAAGAATATTGAGACATTTTTCCCACAGGAAAATATACATTATTATTTATTATGAAAAGAAGATAAAGGTTGCTAGATTTTCTATATATTAATGTGTATGTGTGTAAGTGTATGTACACATGTATGCACAAATACATGCATACGTAAAATCATTTTAAAGATTACGTATTTAACTCATGATTAGGAATGAATCAAGATACGATCTCAAAGCACCATCATACAAATGAATGTAAACATAGTGTCCATTTCTGAAGAAACAAAGTTAAGCAAAATAAATTTACTAAATTTGACAGTTACTGAAGATTATGAAACACTGGTAAACTTTTTTTTTCTCACTATATCATGGGCCAATTTTATTTCTAAGAAAACTGGAGTGGAATTTTGCTTTCCTGTAGCTTGCATTTCAAAGAGAAAATAAATAAAACTATGAATATGATTATTTTATCAAAGGGGTATCAAAGTTACACAGAAGAATAATCTGAGCTACCTGCATGAAGTTTTGAACCAGAATCTGTGTTTATAGATATATGTATGTGTGTGCCTATATATGTATGTGTGTGTGTGTGTGTGTGTGTGTGTGTGTGTGTGTGTGTGTGTGAGAGAGAGAGAGAGAGAGAGAGAGAGAGAGAGAGAGAGAGAGAGAGAGAAAGTACAAAGAATTTGGCTTTGGCATATATGTCACAAATGCAAATTTAAAGGTTATAATTTAGGCAAAAGAAGAAAAGAAGCTGGGTAAAATAAAATGCGACCATATAGATGACTGTATCTTGATTTATATTAAAATTAAATTCTGAGTTGTCTGAAATATATCTCGTTCAATATCGTAAATAGTAAAACCAATGATCAAATATTGATACATTTAGCTAAATCCAATGCATACATATATAGGCATGCATTTATTTTAACATGCTAGCATAATAAAGGAAAAAAACTTTATAGACAGTGTAAATAAATGTTTAAGATATCTTGCATAACTAATGTGTTTTACCTATAAAATCTAAGAAGTTACAACAAAGACCTTCTGCATGGAGTTCTTTGCTGGAAAAATGATATTAAACTTTTATCTGGATATAAGCATAGAAATACTAAAAAGGACTGCTTGACTTAGCAAGCGTAACAATTCCAAAATTTGTAAGAAATTATGGGTTTGAAATACAAATTCAAAGCTTCTACTACAAACAAATACTAAATTGAAATTGTGACTATTGATCTCTTACTTAACACAGCCACAAATTTAAGACCTGATGGTCAGCAATCATCTCATTGTTGCTATCTTAACGGAAATAAATTTAGTATTTTACCACACAGTCTAGATTTTTACAGATATTATTCAATCTGAAATAAACACAAAACAATAGAAATTGCATTATATTTGTTTTAAATTATAGTTTAATTAATACTCCATATTTCAATGTGTAAAATTGCATTATATAAAAAGCTAAATATTTTGGTTTAATTGGGAGTTTGGTTGAGGAAGTAGATTCATTCTCAGAGAAGCATTTATGTCACCTTCCTACATAGTTTTTCAAAGACAAAGACAGACTCATTATGAAAGAGTGAACTTCTGAGACCGTATAATGCAAATTTTAATTTCTGTTTCATAAATGATGCTATGATCTTGGATTTCTTTATAAAACTCCCTTGACTTAAATAATTATACCTTGGGTCAATTGAATCTACATTATAAAGAATTGGAATGAAAAAGATTAAATAAATTTATAAAACAACACTAGACAAGATGAACTCTATCAAACTGACTACTATTTATTTTAAAGTGTATCCCCGGAACTGTATCTAACATGTCAAAATGTCCCCAAGATATCTAAATATATCCACTGAGTATGTTACATGCAAAAAAAATAATTACTGGCTAATATTCAATTTTTATAAGAGTTAAATACTATCTCTTTCATTATGTAGACCAATTCCTATATTTTCTTTAAATAAAATCAAGGATATTTTTTATCAGAAATTCATCACATTAATTCATGCCTTAAGACATATTAAAACCAGTGGATCTTTAAATATTTAGAAGTTTTTCATTTCTACTATTAGAAATATGTCACTATGAAAAAATGCATATTAAAACTGTATACCCCTAAGCACACATTATGAGTATGAAAAAGAATTTATTTCTCTCTTGGAATTTTATTAAGTGAAGCCTAAAGCAGAATAACATTAAGAGTAATTCCTAAAATAACTTAGGATCTACTTTTTAAGTCCATTCTTAAATTCTCTAATTCCACACTCATTAATTTAAGTAATGTTACATAAAATTGTGAATACTATTATCATTTTTATAGAGTAAAGTTTATGTGTCTTCTTGCTTGTTTATATTTTAAACAATGTCTTCTTGTATCTAGCTACCTGGTCAATGGTAAAGCAGGCTGCCCCAAAACTTGTAAGGATCTATTTCCTCTGCCTCTAGTCACAATGTCTTGCTAAATTGAAGCTGAATTTAGCACCCTCGGCTCTATAGAATGGATATCATCTTATAAAGAGGGTAGACTAATTCAACATCTATTGTTTCCATGATTTCCATACATAGAAGTGCACTATATCTCATTAACTCAGATTTAATACTCTAGCAGTTAACTTGTGAATTGAAACCTATCTGTACAGTTTGGGGTATCTTTAGTATATCTGTTGACAACTGCAGGATTTGAGGAATTTGCAATATCCCATTATAAGTGTTGGTCAAATTTGGATTGCTCTTATGTATTAATGCATATATATATATACACATATATAATGCATGTATATATACATATATATGTATGTATCTGTATGAATAAGTTTTATCTTTGAATGATAATTTGGTTATTTATATTTAATTAATCTGTTAAAGAAGTTATCACATGATCCTACAATTGAAACTCAGATAAAATTTAAAAATGCAAAGTAATATGCTATCGTGAATTTACCAATTCACACAAATAATAAATTATCATGTTTAAACATGTGAAACACAAATTCCTCATATGAATACTTTTTAATATATCTGTTCATTGGTGACATGTTCTCACACTAAAAGAAATAAAGCATTTATAGGGATTTGCCTCTACAATTCAAGACATGCTTGATTGCATTCTGGAAAAGTCTCAGGAGACAGGTCCCTAAAACATTCTTTAGCTGAAAATTGAGATTTTTAAATATGACAATTCGAAGAAACATAAGCTTTGCCCTAATGAACTTTGTCTTAGATACAGATTCCTGACACATGATTATGAATATTAGCTAGAACCTACACTATTCTCACAGACTTATTAGTCCTGTATTAATGTTTCTGTTATCCTTTTTCACCAAGAGGAAATTCGTGTACAATTGCAACTTGATACTGTCTGTAACGACACTTCCTTAAACAGTTTGAAAATTATGCTGCCAAAGGATATAAAAATATTGTATTACCTTTGTTTGTATCTCCAT